TAACGAAGATGTCATCAACATAGCGACAGTATAGATCTAGTTTTGAAATATCTTCTTCAAGCCTTTTTTTTAGGTGACCAAGAAAAATGTCTGCAAGAATCGGTCCCAGTGGACTGCCCATGGCGACCCCATCTATTTGTCTATATCCTTGTCCGAGGACCGAAAACTTAACGGTTGACGTGTAAAGGAGTAGAAGTCGCGATAGTTCACTGTTAGGCAATCCAATTTGCAAATTCCTCTCCTCAGTAACCTAACAGATAATCCTGATGGTCTCATATAGCGGAACGTTTGTGAATAGCGAATTTACATCCATTGTAAACATCTGTCTTTGTTGAATATTTCTGTGATTCAAATGTTTACACATCTTGAAGCCATCTTTGACATTACGCCGAGCAATTGATTCTCACCGGTACGAGAATGTTGGCTAACCACTTTGCCAATGCATGTTTCGGTGAATTGATCATGCTTAGGATGGGTCGTAACGGAATGCCTTCCTTATGCATTTTCGGTAGGCCATACAACTGTGGTGTCTGTGTTCCCCTCGGATGTAAACATTTCGCCAGTGAATCTTGTATAAGGTTTGCCTGAGTAAGAGTTTTCAGTTCCGCACAAATTCTCTTCTCTAATCCCCTTGGATCGTCTGGTGTATTGTCAAGCTTAAACTTCGTTTCATTCTGTAGGATATGAATAATCTTTTCTTTGTAGTGTGACTTATCCATCAGCACTACACCGAAACCCTTGTCGGAGCGCAGCACAACGATATTTCGATTAAACTTTCGTTGTTTTAGTCCTTCGATGTGTGCATCGGTCAGTATGGATTTCTGCTTTGTTCCTGTAGTTCAGTATTGATTCTCTATGTTTTGCTTTAAACCAGCCCAGATAATCCTCATTTGTCGGTTTCATATTTGATAACTGATCAAAAAGGACTCAAACGCCGCTTTAGATTCAATATGATTGCCTCCTTCTTGATGGAATACAATAATTTAGATCACATTTAGGCCACTTCACAAGCACTGATGATGTCACCTCGGCTGGTGATGAAACGTTTGCAAACAAATTGCCAAGCTCGGCGAACAGGCGAAATGGAATTCAGTTCACCCGAGCTACAAGAACCCATTTTCAATATTTTGTCAACATGATAAAGCTTCAAGGTACAGTCGATTCAATCGATGTAACGACACATTGTACACGTATTTTTCAGGGTGTTCAGGAAAGGACGAGTTCATCAATTTATGATTCAATGACTTACTCAATCTTTCCATTTCATACATGCGCGTTTGACAAACCTTTTCCTTTATGAGATCATTCACTCTTTCCACCCGTTCTCCTACTACCTCGCTTATCAACTCGTCGCGTGTTATTAAAATCTTGATAGCCACATCTAGTTTCTGGGACTTGAACGGAATACCAATATCCTCCCGTTTGACTCCAGGTGTTTCAATCTTCCTCCAGTGACGCATTTGCCGGTTGATGAGTGTCCAAAAATAAACGTGTTGGCCAAATTTCATCTTTAGTTCATGTAGCCTTGTAGTATTTTCCGGGAATCACCATAAAGCAGTCAAAAACAATGTGATCCCGTCACCTTTTTCTGATTTCGTAATGTTCTCGAATTGTTGGCTTTTCTAAACTGTTCCAAACGACAAGGCACTGGGATTTTGGAAGCAGAACACCTAATACTTTAGGATTTCATGTGTTTTCTGACCAGTCAAGGGTGATTTATGATTAAAACAAAATGGGGCTATTGAATAGATAGATAGAGAGAGTTGTAGATTTCTTTGGTCAGTAAAGCATTGGTTCATTCTTTACTTAATCCCGATCTCGTTGCAAATGTTCGCTGTGATGGTACATTCAAGATCAGGACAGTTATCTATCCCTTACGATCCTTCTCCTCCGAGCTCTCTACCTAATGTGGATATAGTGACCCAAGTGGATGGGGAATCCAGTCATAGAATTGAACTGTGACCTGCTCGGTGTGTCGTGTTAATACTGATGCCGAACGTGAAAATCAGATGCAATAGCCGAAGGATGAATCACAGGAAAACCGTTTCCTCGGTGTGGTGTATTCTTCGCGGTGTGTGAGAATGAGAACAATTTAATAATTGCACTCATTCTTGAACTGTTTTTTTGTTTGATAGACGGGAATGCCAAACTCCCGGTAGATGAAATATTATCAGCTCATAGCACAATTACCCATGAATAAGTTTATTTGATGCACGACCGGAATGCAAAAATACGGCAATCTACCGGTTTGACATTCACCAAGCAATCATCTAAAGCATTCAGACGTACGACTGCGTCGATCAGTACAAAAATAAGATTCCGGTAGACGTAGTCCGGTTGTACGTCGCGATCAGTGCATACGAAGTAATTGTCTAACAATTGCACAAATGAACACCATACCATCATGCTGGTTGAAATCGTTCCATTTTTCGTTCTAATTATGTCCATTGTTTGAATTGCGAACAGTTTTTACAATTGAATTCAAATAATTGAATTTCAAGATGCATTATTAGTTTAATTCAATGTTTTGATAATATCACAATATCAGCCCATCCTCATGCTTATTACACGAGTTCTTTGAAGACGCGAGTATTATTTTTGCTGCGTCTATTATCAATCTCTTATTGTATTATTATTATTATTGTATTATTATTGTCTTATTGTATTGTATTGTATTGTATTGTTGTATTGTATTGTATTGTATTGTGTATTGTATTTATAGGAAAAAAAATGAAAGCATTCTCCCACAGACTAGCCAGATTGAATTCGGGCAGCAATAACTTTACTTGAGCTTGAAATTTCATCGATACTGCCGATACCATTCACAGTAAGAAGACGAAAGTAGATGAGGGGTTCAAATATAACACAAAATAGCCTACATATATATTTATCTACACCAAACACGCACTCCATGTCACATCTCATTATCACTGTGTTATAGGGGGGAGTGATTGGAATCGATATTCAATGGAATTGTGATTTGGACTGGAGCCCAAAATACTGCAATCCAACCTACTCGTTCAGTCGCTTGGATGACGCTCAAGCAAAAATTGCTTCCGGTTTTAATTTTCGGTAAGCTCGAACCAAAATGGTTTCGCATATGTATCCGTGCATGTGTGTGTGTGTGTGCGTACGTTATCCCGGGGAAACGTATGCGTGAACTATAACCAGTTTCAAAAGAATTCAGTCTGAAAGCCCATTCATGCATCCAAGCATTTATCTTCCTACCCTGGTCAACTGACCATCAAAACCACACGGTTTCTATTTCGGTTTACGTACGGTTGTTAGCATCCTGAGCTTTCAAACAAGCCCATGAGTCAAAGCGGTTTCTCACTTGATCGCAATTTGGACCGGATAGGGGAGAACAATGGACCATTTTAGCACTGTACTATTCCGCTGCACGTTATATACAATTGGAAGTTTATTTCATCTGTCTCACTGGGTAAATTCCATTCCCTTTTCGATACAGTCCCGCGTCAGAGGACTGTGTTAAAATCAACTAGTGGAACAGTTCCGGTCAAAGATTCCATTAGCTTATCACTTCATTTTTTTACCAATTTGGTTCCAAAACAACCGTTACCTCTTACGACGCTTTCGCGGCCACATAAATTTAATCCTAAACAAATATTTTTCACTTCTCCTTCCCGCTTACATCACAAACTATGCACGACATATAGCTTTTAGTGTATCTTACGTAATTTCATTCAGCTCTCTCTCTCGCACGCTCCTTAGCTCACAATATTCATTTAAATCAGTCTTTCTTCTCCCTATCATTATTTCATTTTACCCCTGTCCACTCACACCTCCACGACTCGACGAACATTGATTACCACTAGCCTTGTCACATCCACCTGTTCCGTTTGCTCGCCCCAGTCATCTTTCTGTACTGAGCTATATTCGGCCAATCCAGTATCAGTACTACGATCGCTTTCTATATGGCATGGAAATAAATTTATTCACCAACGAATTCTTTTTATCGATCGGAATTGCTCACCGCTGGAGCTGAAGTGTGTACATCATGTTCCGGATCAGCCAGTTATGTGGCTCAGTACCACGACGTACTTATATCCGCCTCTGTGCTTGTGCCCACATCTCACAACGCGAACAATGCTATTCCAACAAATTCGGCCGCCTAGTACTATTTCAGGTCTTCATCTTTTTGTTAACCTAATCTACATGTCTCGTGTATCCCTCCCGATTAGATGTACTAAGCTTTAGTATGAATTATTACTCGTCTTTATTCGACGCGCGTCGGCTGGTGGCTCTCATGAACAAATCCCATTTGTTTACAGAGGCTAATTTGTTCTATCTGCAGGCTGTTTGTTTCGGAAGCCTATCCAAATGTTTTGATATCATTTGCGCGGACAAGACGGAAGTGCTTCGCCTTTTTTTCTCAGTCAACCAATTGGGCAGATGTGCACGGAAGAGGTAATATCATTTGATCAGCAATAGGGAATATGTTAAAATAATAGGATAGAACTGAAGCCACATGCAGTCCAGCTTATCCGACTTGTATCCTTTCTAGGAATCAAGAATGGCTTAGCAAACCGGAAGCATCAGATGCGGAACAATACTCGGTCTCCGATGAATGGGTGGTGAAAAAGAAAACACAGAACTGCCGGACAAAAACAGTCTCATTATCAACTATATAGATGGACTGATGGTGGATGGGTATCATTGAGAGAGAGAGATGAAGCCCACCAATTGGTATGCCTAATTCCCAGAAAAAGTAACTGAATGCGAAGCAATCTTATTACGAAATGTCTTTTTTTCTTACAGCAACTAATATTGGTATATGAAGGTCAAAAGAATAGGTAGGGTATGACAAGCAAGACCGCATCGGAATAGCCGCTTTGGATGCCACGCTAATATGATAATGGGTAATGGTGTGAGCTAACTCATCAGTATTGCTGTTGTAGCGCTATTTGATGTGTGTGATTTCGACTATCGTTCACTGGATGGAATGGTGAATATTTTCGTGATCGGTCAACTGAACGGAAGCACAGCATTCACGTTTTAACAAGCAGAGTGAGCCATTTGTCACTATTACGATCACTGAGGCACGTGATAAAGTGGTGAACCTTGAGGTTGGGACCACTGTTCTATTATCGCACATTGAATATGTCAGAAACTAGTCAGAACAGATTTCGGGCAGGAAACTGCACTGAAACGCCGAGGAAGAATCTTGTTAGGAATGTTTAAAAAATGCGCCAAAATTCAAATCCACCAGGACATATACACACCCAGTACATTCTATAACTTTCTTGCTCAGTCGCTAGATCCATCCCGTTAGAAGCTGTTCAAGGTAGATTTGGCCACTGAAAGTTGATATCGGGACACTTATAGGCGATTTAAATCACGTTGCTTTATTAGGTATCACGTTGTTTGGGGGCCAACGTAACGGAACAGTTCATGAATCAACATTTGAACCCGGGGGATTTATTGCCTTGCGGCCACATGAAACACATGCACCCGGCAGCATAAATCTGCTCTCTTGGAGAAACAAATTATTCCATCCCTTGGGAGGGGAACTGATTTGTACAGTCTGCCTTTAACTGGAAACAGTTTTATGAATTGACATCACACACCAAAGCGAGTAGCTGAAACGTTCTCCTCATTAGTTTACGAAGCAAATTAGCGTGTATTAAATGTTAATCGGTAAAAACAAAACCTTTTGATGATGAGCGGATCAACTACGGCACAAGAGCTATGCCGTTAACCTCTCTGTATTCAACCGATTGTCTGTGAGAAATTACTCTCGAATCATGAATGTCTAACTCAAGTGATCACACAAAAATTCTCTTTATTAAAAAGAGAAATTTGGATCGATAGAGGTTTCATTATTTCAAAAGCGTTTTGTTGCTCGCGAAAACTCATTGCTTACTTTTGCCTGCACTTTGGAGTGCTTTTTGGCCTGTTTATTTCCCAGACATCCCTCATGTTTTTTCACAGAACACTGTCTACTATGTCTGGTTGATGCAAGCCCATAGTCCTAAATTTAGCTGATTTATAAAATAACTGAGCCTCCACTGCCAATCGAATATCAACGATTGTTGAAATATCCCGTTATCTACCGATAGTTTTTTTCAAGAATGTCGAACTCCCGCAACATCCGAAAGATGGTTGCAACATGCACATTACCCGGGTCGAACCGTTTTGTGTGAGAGAGAACAACCCTCAATGAACCATAATGAATAACCGATTCGAGTGCAATGGAATCTTTAGACAGGTTCACCACTGCTCGATAGCGTATCGTTTACCTTAGAAATGGAGCGTAACAACAAATTGCCGTTTCTAGATGTCTGTATCACCCGTCAAAAAGTTTGTTCCAATACAATGTTTGAAGCATAGAAAGCATTCATTTTCGAAGGTTTGTGCCGCTTAATGTAAAAAGGAACCTGGTTCATCTTTCATTTTTCACGGACTTCTGAGTTCAGATTGTGTGCCAAATAAATCACCAAACAATAAGCTTTATAAAAAATAAAATAAAGTCCAATATTTGCTGGAGGGCACGAAAAGGATAGGTACCCAGGCTAAAGCAGGTGACTTTTCTTCGAGTTCATGTTCCGCTAACCAAAGCCTGACTTGCAAGGCAGCGGAGCGGCGTTTGAAAACCGCAATCCATTGGGGTCGGTGTCCAGTTCATTGGATCGTGCGCCATTTGGAGAGGGTCAAACGTCAATGATATCCAGTGCACCTCGATGACAAATCGAGCGGGTGATCATTATCACAACCAGGGAGGTGTGATTGCGTTTGGTTCGTACTTCTGATCTTGGCTCACTTGGAATCAGGGACTTTCGCCAACTCCTCTGGGTGAACTGCCATTGGTTCACTGACCAAGTTATAGCACCGGATATTTGCTTTTGTCCTCTCACTTTAATGAGTAGGGCTTCCTCGGCAGTAGCTAGTTGAGACGCTTGGAAGCATGGGAGAATTCCGTGGGGTACAGAAAAGGGATGATCAGCCGAAACCCGAAACACCCACCTCCCACCCCAAACCATACTGTGGCTTTCAAAGGTAGCTTCATGTGTTTCAGAATAGCAAGCTTGGATTAGCCCATTCAATTGGTAAGAGCCACCAGGCACTCTTGATGATTTTGGTTGTGGGTTTCACTGCTTGGGAGATCGCTAATTCATGCATTTACATGCGATGGAAATGTTTGTGAACCGGATCAACGGCTGGAAAAGTTCAACTCCATACAAAAGGCCATAAAATTTACAAAGGAGGTAACTGCAGACGATCAAATACCGTTTCTAGATGTACCCTCATCAGAAGATGTGTTGGATCTATACATGCAGTGTGTACCGTAAGAAAACATGGAGTGGCCACTGCATGAATTTGACAGTTGTGTCCCGATTAATCGAAGCAAGAACCTGATAAAATGTTTGGTATCTAGAGCTCGGAGAATTTGCTCACAAGAAGTATTTGAAGATTACCTCAAGTTTATCCTCAAAGTGCTCGGAAACAATGGCTAGCCCGACCGCCTCATTCAACGAAATATGATGGAACTGGTACCAAAGGTACGCAGCGATAGGGCGGAAAAGAAGGACCTGTTCATTAGTCTTCCTTTTAAGGGTAAAGTTGCTGCTGAAGCCCTCATAACACGACTGAATGAAGCGATAAAAGCCACATTCAATGCCGCGATTCCAAAAGTTCGCCACTGATAACCATACCGAATAAAGATAAACTACCGATGGTGACCGCTTGAATGGTGGCTTACTCGTTCACATGTGTTTGTGATGTCGGTCGTACGGTACAACAGTTATCTATCCGCATGACAGAACACCATCCGCACTGGCTAAGTCGAGTTGGTTCCGGATCTATCACAAGTGCGATTCTCACTCACTTAGTAGACACTGGCCATCGTGTTAATCCAAGCGAAGCATTCCGAATTATTCATCGGGTTCCCCAAACCGGTCCAAATGCGTTAGAATGCGTACATTGGCCATAGCCGAGGCCAGTTGTTTTAAGCATTTGACCCCCGAACTATGTGCCCAGAAACGTCTTATCCAAGCTCTCCATCTACCCCGGGTTCGAGAACGCACCCCTCCACCCTGCCCGCACCCACAAACATTTTCACACAACGGCGATCCCTCAGAACTGGGTCACACGACCGTCGTGACATAACTAAAAATCCCGGAAGCACAGTTGTGCAATACATACACACACAAATAGACACGCATACACAAAGCGAACGATTCCTCACATTTCATTGTCCCCCTTCCAACCCTTAGGCTTTTTCCCCTCATATAAACTGTAACGGCACGATTATGAGTCATTGAAAACAACTGTTTGCCTGAAATTGTGTTCTAAATATCGGATTCAATCCAAAAACATTTTCNTTTCTGACACCACCGGCTGTTGGTGGTGTTGTTGGTGATGATTGTCGTCAGCTGCATGTTGAGTACCACACACATCCCTGTATTTAAGCAGGCAGCCGTTTTACGGCTGCAACCTCCTTCCGGATATTTAAGTATAGATTTCATTGTACTCAAAAAATCCGAAATGAAGTGAAAACATCATCCTAATATATTTGAATGTATCACATCATTTCTGTCGTTTTATGCACACATGAAACATGCTTCAATTGTCTCCAGCAATTTAAAAACTATCTTTGTTTATTATGATCTGCGTACCGTTTATGAATAATAATTCCACTGTGGTGAATTTCCACTCTCCGGGTTTGTTAAATAATTCTGAGCAGACACATACCTTAAAGCTCTATCATCTCACAAGCATCGTCAGTCCGTGATCGAAATTGGCATACTCTGATCCAAAATGCGTCTCAACCCGGGGTGAAGAGAAATTTCGCGCCCGATTCGTAGATCTCCTCACCTGATACCGATTCCCTGTCTGCCTTATGTACTGTGTTTCAGATACGCCAACTTCTATCACATCAATGGCACGCTGCATCGGGATTTGATCAAGGCGTACGGGATTCGATTTGTCATTCACGCGCACGGGCGTGCTGGCAAATTTCACATAATCCCACTGACGCTCAACATCGGATCCGGTTTGGCTTTACTCGGTCTGGTAAGTGAAGGTAACAAATAGTGCACACACACCTAAACACACACGGGACCCACGCAGGTAGAACGCAAACATACCACCCAGGCAACCACCTTCATACAGTTTCGCATTGTCCTCACGCACGATATAGCACAACCCATCTTGGTAAGCTTGCTAAGGATATCACACAAAGTTCATCTCATCCGTAGCCCTCAGGTTTTCAGTCCAAAATTGACTACTTGTTATTTGTCCGATTTGTTCACCCTTCTGAAGAGATGAAGAGGAGATTCCGATTTCCATAAAACGGACCTATTAGTAAGCGAGTGACTAAGACCAACTCTTTTGCACTCCGTCTCCGAACAGATCAAACAAAATGGGCCGTTTGGGTGGATTACAACATTCTCTCATTCTGATAAATGCCAGTAGAAACGATCGTCCGAACTGTGACAAAATGAGCACCTTATTATGGAGGTATTATATTGCAACTGCTGTCAAGATGCAAATTTCAGATTGGTTGGGCATGTACAACCAATAGGCACCTAACGTGTTCTGTAGCGTTCAATAGGCGAATAAGATACAAATGGGAGTTGAAGATTCTTTCACTGTGCTCCCAAACAAGCTCCCTTTTGTTACTTTCTAATTTGACCGTGAACTGACATGCACTGGGTGAATTAAAATTAATTTGTGGCATAAGTACGATTTTCTCCATCTTTGTGTCACACTGTGTTTTGTTGGATGACAACCGTGGACACGGACACATTTTCCAAATGAATATTACAGCAGTGTTCTGTCCAGTTCTATTATTCTCATTTTTCATTTAAATATGGATTTTTGAAACTTTTGCCCTTCTGACATTCATAAGAGAAAAGTAGGTTCCACTTTTGGGATCAGTTTGCAGGTTTCGTGAAAGTGATTCTATTAAGTTATACAAGAAATGTTCAAATAATAAAAGTACTAGAGATCATCTGCTGTAATTCAACAAATTACGCTATTGGAATTATATTGTTCTGAACTGACTATCCTTCGAACGTCACCTTCACGCACAATCCTCAGTTCACTCAGTCAACCATACACTTGGAATCACTAGATTCCAGTTTCGCTTTTATCAGAGCTCATCAGCAGCGCTTATTCACCGTCCCGTCCACGCTTGAACTCCGTGCCCAAGGATTGTGTGTGTTACCACTGTGACAACCAGCTCATACCACGGCTGAACCGAATTTGTTTGTTTAGGTGTTGTCTTCACTGATTGTCAATCAGTTCACTGGGCCCGACAGCAACGAAGGGAGACACAGTTGATTGTCTGTTTAATCCAATCGAAAGCCCTCCACCCATTCAGCACTTTCATACAGGTTACGGGCTGACGAGCCACACGCCTACCAGGGCTCGATTGAAAATTTGCATTTAACATATAGTTGCGTGCGTGTTGAGCGACTTTGGATTCCTTCAGAACAGCTTGGTATAAGCCCGTGTGGACTTTCAATTTCATCTAACTGTGATCGGCTTGTCTTGGCCCGTCCGAAACAAAAAGCGAGGTATTCATAACTGATTTCTATCTCACCAAAATGATCTGACCAGATCTCAATCCTGGCCGATTGGGCCAACTTCTGGCAGAGTTGATCAGTACTTTGTCTGATTTGTTGCAATACTACCACGTGTTCCACAATGGGATTGGTTATAAAGGCTCATCTTTGCCCTGTTTTTTCCAAATCACAAAAAGTCCCCGCGACGTATTGTTTTACGTTAAAATTGTGTGTAATTCTGGCCACTGTCTATGAGGCGGATGCGATCATTCACAGTGACACAGGCGATCAAGATCCGATGAATATGACTCCGGCCAGGGTTACCTCATTGCCCTTACATGGTGGTATTCACACAGCATATATGTGTATGAACAATCCACTCAAATGACAGTCAGCTTTCTTTTCAATGACAGGCAACTGTGAAACCAAGGTTTGCTTTCCAAGTCCGTGATCAAACCAGAGACGATTTTCCTTTGCTGGTTTCCTCATGCATTTTTCTCCAAATCTGTCATCCTCAACTGGACGCAATCTGAGGGTGTGTTTGCAAGGCTAATAATATTGTCATACATTAGTTCCACTTGTTTTTGAGTAAACCGTACTATGTGGAGTTGCATGTAAGCTTGGACTTTTTCTCTTCAATCTCTTTTGATCTATCAGCAGCCACGGTGTACGAATTTTCCTTTCTTTTCCTTTTCGGATTCAACAGACCATCTATGATCACAAGGCCCGCACACAGGATTCAAGACTTAGTTCAACACTGGCCTCATCTAAATCACAAAACACCTGACCATTCAAAATTTGTGTTAGCAAAAGTCTCAGCGGTTCTGTGAGCTACCAATAGGCATTGCGGTGCTAAATTGAAATTCATTCCAATGATAACCATGATAACCATGATCCTTACATTAACGAATGCATAGCTGTGCTTTTACGATTGCACTACCGGTTACAATTGTCGTTCAACATTTGACTGTGTTTACTGCCTAGAAAGCTATCGCCGAAATTTTCAGTGAAAAGACAAATAGATTGGGCAATTGTGCTTTTTGCCCCGGAAAAATGGGAAGAGTTTTATGGTTTAGGCCTCAAATAAGATGGAAATTATATATGTGCTGCCGTTACGTGTACAAATTCCGACGGAGCTTTAAAACGTTTTCTGTGCGACAATTCTGGTTTCTGTTAATAATCCAGGGAAAATGCATGACAAAGTTCTCAGCATGATTACTTTTTTTCCCAAATTGGTTCTGTCGTTAATTGTTCTCTGAGCAAGTACAAGGTGAGTACAAGGGTCAGCAACTTTTCGTTAAGTTCATTCTGTCAGGCACCAGGTGCTGTGTGTGCGTGTTTCTGTTGTTGTGGATGTCCCTCTGTTGAAACTCAAACATGCTCAATCATTTCGCAAGTTGCAATTAATGGGAATAAGGGATTCCGGTTGTACGCTCTAGCAAACTCACGTTTCTACTCGTATGAATGATCAGCCTGTCTGTTTCCTTATACATGCGCACTACATAAAATGTACGGATTATGCGCAAATATCTGTCCAGCTCTCGCAGCAATTCATTCATTGGTCGAAAATTGATCGCTTAAGAATCCTTTTCCATTTCTATTTGGAATTTTAATGAATTCGGACAAAAAATGAAATTGCACATACGCACCTCGATCATTTCCCCCCCCCCCCCATCTATGGATAACGAAAAATGAGATGGTAGGCAGAGTGAATTTTCTCAAATGAATTAGACTCCATTCAAAGATTATCCCTAACTATATCATAGTTGGAAAAACGAATACGCAACTCACATAAACTGCATGTGTACAGATGCAGCGGAACGATCCAAAACAGATTATGCAAACTTGTGTTCATGGTTTCCCTATTCGAATTTGTCAGTGTTTTCGAATTCTCCGTCTGAAGAAGATGATCAACTGAGAGAAACAATCAAGATTTAAATTCGAATAATGTCAACGATCCATCCTGTTTACTTAATACCGTTAGCCCACATGATCAAAATGGTTCCTGACGAACCCGTTTTAGTGATTTGAGGGGTCGGTGATGTACTATGGATGTGTTTATGAAGATACCAGAAAGAGGGGTTGGTCCATAATGATCCAGCGATGGACGGAAACAAGGCTAAATCGCCTATGGGATGTCCATGGAATACGACCACCGATCGCTCAGAACGGATTCACATAGCCAATGTGACACAACTACCACAGTTGATAACCGGGTGCAAACACGTACGAGCACAAGCTCACACTCGTATATCTAATTCCACATTACTGGATGTTAACCCTGGAACTGTTGACAAGCACTGGTGATGTCACCTCGGCTGGTGATGAAACTTTTGCAAACAAATTGCCAAGCTCGGTGAACAGGCGAAATGGAACCCTGGAACTGTTTTGGATTCACTTGCAACGACAGGTTTTGTGACGTTAGATATGTCTTACGTATGAGCTCATACAAAGGCATTTCTCGATTCGTGGTTTCTTCTATTGTACACTTGATTGGATAAACCAAGTCCACAGTAAGCAAATATGAAGTCTGAATAACTATAAATCATCGAACCAGTCTCACAGAGCACATTTCGGATAGAATAAGGAGTTACAAACAACCTCGTTTTTATTGATTCGTAGCCATGCTAATAGATCACAATAAATATCACGATGTTATTGAGGACTTATTTAGTCTTCGGGCAGGATATGGGATTCTCAACGATCACATGAGTTCAACTTATTGTTCGGCAGAGTTGAAGTCTGTATGACGATTGTAAAAAGCTCAGTAATCTCAGTAGGATTCGAACTCTCGCAGGCGCGCCGACTACGCTTTGTACACACAGGCTCTACTAGCTGAGCTACGACACCACACCGATAACCTTATCTTAGAAGCTCATGCGGCGGACTCCGGTGAATTCTGAGGAAAACCTGTCGGGGCAGTCAGCCTGGATGCGAATTGGTGGATGTCATATATCACATAACTCGAATGTGAGATCAACTAAGTGTTAGGTAATTCAATCGTTGGAACTGCTCGGGATATGGGGTATGTGGGTGGAGGAGGGTGGACCATAAAAGGAGGGTTCTGTGGATAAATTCCTACCACCTCCGCACATGGCATCGAGCCTTCCTTGTTAAACGGCCGCGAACCCGATTCAAGGGAAGGGAGGGTGTGCCTCGACCACATTCACTGTGTGGCTTGTTTCAACTAGGTGTAAAACCACTGTACCGTAGTGAGTGACCTTATCATTTCAGTATTTATCCAAGCGGGGTGGTGATCACGGATGCGTTCGGACGAACGCCTGGCCGTGTAGGCCATATAAATTGTTCCGCAGGAACACAAAATGAGATGGTAGAATCCTGCATGTTGTCCTTTAGTCTTCAACGTGCAGTTAGCTAGCTAGGTCGTGAGCAAGGCATTGAGGTTTGCTGCATAAAAGGTTTTACTGACAGCATCAGATCATTAAGAAGCCCATATCCGGTCCGATGACAAATTTAGTCCCGAATACCCAATGATGTTGATTTTTTCCCTTCCGAAAACCATTGTTTGGTTTTTATAGTTGAGTTTAAGTACATATATAAACATCGTGATATTTAGCATGATTGTAAATCAATCAATAGCGAGTTACGTCAAAATCTTATTTGAGAGTGGGAAGGGGGGGGAGAAAACATGATAAAATGAGAAGAGAAATAATCAACCTAAGATTCCTCTTCACAAACGTTCCTATTTCTGAAACTATTGATTACATACGGGACTACATGCAAAACAATAACTGTCAAATCGGAATATCAGTCAGTGATCTCAAACGATTGTTATATCCGTGTACTCACAACACGCAATTCAAATTCAACGACGACGTTTATCTTCAAATGGATGTGGTAGCAATGGGGTCCCCCTTGGGTCCACAGATGTCTTCATGGCTAAGCTGGAGAATAACATCCTCAAATGAACGGTCGATCGGCATTATACAAAAGATACATGGATGACATTTTGGGTTTTCTCGATGACAGTGTGAATCTGTCAATACTCTTCAGAGTGTATTTAATCCGCGCAATCAATATCACTTATCCCTCACTATTAGTAATGTGAGATACTACTCACATTTGTGAGTGGTACGCAAAAAGATGCTATTGGCGGTTTCCCTCAACTGTTTGAAATGATAACTACGGGTTATTCCATTTATTTTCCTGTGTGTTGCCGAGAATTGCGATGGCATGTTCATAACGAGGTTTCTTTTTATATGCACACCAATTTATACAACTCTCCTCGAGCCAGTGCCAGTGCTCTAGAATTATAACATTAGCAAACGTCTTGGCGTTTTAACCAACAAATATTATGATTGAAAGATCCTGTTCATATTCTCTAATTATTCTGGCCATCTGGCCACTTTAATTTATTTTCCATCAGGCTCCCACCCTCTGTGATATCATAGCGCTAAATTTGCTACCGTCACGTAAATTGTACCACCGGGCCAAATTCGAGATAATCGCCGAGGAAGAAGAGAAACTGGCCGCTCGACGTGCCAGTCGGCTGATGAAATCCGCAGACAAAGTGAAACATAGCTATCCGGGAACGTCAAAGGCTGGCCGTAGTGGACGGCGTAAAGGGCGATCAGTTTTCACCATCGAACGAATCGACCGGCGGCACACAGATCCCGAACAGGCAACAGATAGATGAACGCCAGGAGGAGGTGCTCAACTGAAAATGAGACTGTAAAATGTTCAAACTATCGCTAAAAATCCGCTATATTGAGTGGTATGATTTGAAAGTTCAGTTTTCTCATCATTCCCTGTTTTTGGTTTGGTCAGAAACATTGTGCGACCTTTCCATAGGATTTAAACTTTCATTAGATTTTACGGATTGTATCAATCCACCGCGCACTACTAATCTTGTGCAAATTCCCAACATGTCTTTGCATCCACATGGAGATGTGATTATTGTCAATTATGAAAGCGAATATTGCTACTGGATTGATAAACCTTATTTCCTCACTGTTGATTCTTCAGCGGTTGCATGACCCCAGCCTTATATACTTGATGAAGAGCGTTACAAAGTATAAATATACATTGTATTCATACTCTCTTGTCCATGAATTTCTGCCAAGAATGTCAAAGGTAACAAGTATTGCTGTCCTATATAATTTTTTTGACGGCAGTGACAGATGTGGTCAGTGTGGAGTTTGCTTGTTCCGCAATACTGACTGACTCCGGGCACTCTAGGGATTGATTAGAACGCTGGCACACACACGTTAGTGACCTTTAGTCCTAGGAGAAATCATGATAGCTTTTATTCCAGTACCACATTACATCGAGGGTCATAGACACTGCGTGCTATGGCCGGCGGTCCCGACTGGTGACACTCAGCTGTTCAGTTGGTTTCTCTCTAAATGTAACTGTTCTCCGTATATTTATCATGTTATTGCTTTCAGTGTTCTAATTCTTCCCTCAAAAACGTATCGGCCAATACCGCCGCACGGTGGTGAGTAGTTATTGATTGCATAAGCTTCAACTGAAACAAAAGCTATTGCTAAGGACATACACCTTTTCTGATGTTCAGTTTGGTGAACTGCTTTAATCCCTTTCAAACTTGTTGCATGAATGAATCAGACTATGAGCCTCTCGGGTAGGTGCTGTGTAGAATGTGTAGATTGTGTTAAAATCCGAGAATATTGGTGGTGGGGATTATCTTTATTATCCTGTTCTCGTGAACAGTAACTCTACAGCATCCCCAGATCTGTTGTGGGATTGACGTGATCGAGTGAATGGTCGCTGTCTTATTTGGTTGGTTGTTTCTGATTATACAATGGAATACATTCCGAGATGGCTTTTAAGACAGTCACGGACCGTTCACTGTGGTCTACGACAAAAAAGTCGGTTTCCGTTTTTTCTGGGAGATCAACAACTTCAGTACGAATGAGAAGGATCTCAGCGTCATTGTTCAAGATGACCTAAGCTATTCTTTCAACTGCTCCTGGACTTCGTCTACCGCTGTAAGACACGTTGGTTTGCCAAAACGAGTATTTGGCAAATTTGAACCTACGCTGCTCCCACGATTGTTATCAGTCTACATTTGACCCCACATAGAGTACGCCATTCAAGCATGGAATGGTTGCAACGCGATAGTAGGATTCTGGAATGTCCACAAAGAATGGCTACCAAGATGGTCAAAGGACTGCATTCCAAGATTTATGCGGAAAGACTGGAAGCACTATAACTGTACTCCACACAGTATCGCCGCATTCGAGGAGAATTGATCTTGGTATGCCAAATGACGCAGAACCCAGACCACTCATGCCGTCCACTCTTTACCTTGTTACCCAACAGTGACCTGCAGGGGCACTCATTCAAATTAGTGATCCAAAAATACCAACTAGAATGACGGCGTCATTCATTCACCCTCAGAGTGAGCATTATTTGCAGTTCTTTACCACCACACGTTGTTTCTGCGTTCACAATTGGTTCATTCAAGCAAAAACTAGATGAAGCTTTGAAAAGTCTTGAATTTCAACATGCGTAGCAGTGCACGAAAAAGGACAAATTGCGGCATTCATCCACTTTGTATGAACTGTGAACCGATTCATCTGTCCCAGATCCTATGGGACTAGAAAAGCAACCGCTTGCAAGTATTTTCCATAATAAAACTTTGAATTTGGCTTTTGTCAGTAGTGCATTGAGTAAGGCTACCAAATATGTAAAAATACAACCAATCACACTGTTTTAACATCTCTAAGGAATATCCACAGCTTTTGCAAAAACACCAAAGAGAGTAATTTAATCAAAAGAAAGAAGAAAGAGAAAGGTGTTTCGGCTTTCAGTTTTTTTTCCATCGAGGCGAATTCTTATTGCACAAGCTTGGACAATACTATTTGTTTAATTCAATAAATAGACCTCTGTTAGGGAGCGCACGTACCCCCCACCCCCACCCCAAAATTTCAATAACATAACAACATCTATTTTGTTCCCAGATAAGCAACCCGACAGGCAGATGATCACAATACAGAAATTGAGTAGAATTTCACAGAACTTCACAATAGAGCAATACAACATAGAGACGAAGCTGTATATGTATATATGGGTTAGATGTGCTTTGGATCGATGGATTTTGGGTATTATTCCGTCAAATGAGACATATACAAGCAGTTTGAATTTATGCCTTGGGGACAGTAGACTCTTCGAAATGGGAAGACCACAGACAACCGGAAAGACCATTGTCATTTACTAATGAGGGGCATAAGGGCCTCATTATTGGCAACGGAATGCCCTGAATTTGTGTATATTCATAGACTATATAACAGATCGGCAAGAGAGCGGGTTTCAGAAAATTTCAAGCGACTACTTCCTCGTCGATCGGGGGAAATTCATTGGTGCAATCCAATCGGGTCATCTGTGGTTCATTCTGTTGTGGTCCGGGGTGATCATCAACTTGCGTGGGATGCAACTCACTGTTCGATTTGTTTTTTGTTTTCCTTTTGTTCTTCTTCCGCTCCGCCTCTTTACCGTCTTGTTCGTGCTCGTCACCGTTCGCTTTACTTGCTCGCCTCGGCACACGACTGGCTCGACGTGCGGCCAATTCGGCTTGTTCTTCCGCGATCACTTCGACTTTCGCTTTCTGATAAATACTTCTGGTCGGGAGCAGATTGAGCGCGATCAAATCGCACAAAGTGGGCGCCTGATTGATTGAATCGGAAAAGTAGATGGAGGTTCCGGGGGAATAAAAATGTGTTACTGAGGTGCTTTTAATAGATAACAAGGGTAAAAGAAATAGCATTGAATTATTTATGAATAATCGGGGAAGCTGGTATTTACGAACTGATCACGTATAGTTTAAATAAGTGAACAGAACAACTAGATCTATTGGAACTGAGAACCCAAAAACTGTGTGACTAGTTGAGATGTGACTTCACGAGCAGAAGCCGGATTTTGGATATGATAAAGGGCGGCCATTTCGTTGATGACAGTTTAAAAGGGCATCTTTTGTTTCCGATTGTTGTGCAAGATCTCCCATATACATTGTTAAAACCGTGAAGTATTTCACGGGCTCGAGACTAAACCCAACGGTCCTGGATCTTGGTTATCGCCTACAAGCGACTAATATGTTTGTCGCGGCCGGATTGACTGATTGATCGATTGGCTGACAGATGCTGTCAGCTAGCACACACGCACACATTCACGCCACGCGAACTGACTCTACTACAGTATCAATCGGCTCCAGCAAACCAGATATCTGTATTGAAATGTCTTCACTGGTTTATTCGGTAACTGTTTGAATGCCTATTTGACGCCATATGAACTTCGCATGACACTTGAGCCAGTCTGTGCCTGTCTGCCGGCTTGCGTGTTGTCCGTTCATGCTTGCTCACCGGTCTACGGACCGGCTGGCTACATATGTACTCTCTACAATAAACGTACGGCTTAATTATTGCGTGCTGATCAACTTAAGAGGAATACAACACTCACAATGATCGCAAATTCCAGGTGGAAAAATATCGTGTATTTCCCGTTCTTTTTTCTTTTGTAGCAGTATATATAGAATTTAGGGGCTTATGTCGGACAGGAACTGCCACCGGAGCAATCATCATCGACCACATTACGGACGAATCAGCTGTTGCGTGCGTTAAAAGAAGACCAAAACATGGATATCGGAGCAAATTATTGATGCTTGACTGCTTTGGATCTGTAAAACATCCTTCTTTGTTTATTGATTTAATCAAAACAAAAAGATATGGGGGCAGAAGTGATGTTAAACATCCATTTCGCGTGCTCTCATTCAGCTGCAAACGCGCATTTAAATGATCGTGTGAACCAAAGAAACATAAGAGTTGAAATGAATTACTTGCATAAGGTGGTTCTTAAGTTAAATTTCCGTTTCTTAACTCATTACTCAATCGATTGTCAGACGAGAAACTACAAATATTTATGTTTCGAAAGCCTACATGGACGGGACAGAATATACAATTCAGGAATTTCTGTCTTGTAGGATACAAAAGTTGTCTGGTGCGCACTCTATTTCACTGAGTTCGCGATTACGTAGCCCGCAAGTCCGGACAGATGAACTAGACCGATTGACCCATGCTTTGCTGGACAATGGTTATCCCATCGCATTCATTCACAAGTAGAGCAAGCTGATCAACACCAAGCTTATTTTCCCATTAGTTAAGACAAAAGATGTCTATAGAACTTCCTTTTAAGGGAAATGTTCTACGTACAATGTCGCAAGAGTGTCTACGGGACACTTCGTTGTTTCAACCACACTAATCTGGATCGAGAAAACAGTGTCACCTCCAAAGGTTTCTAATCTTTACATTTTATCTGCGGTCAGCGGTACATCGGAAGTACATAATGCCGCTTATCAATCAGCATGTGTGAACATATCCCGAACGTCCTTGGTCTTCCCGGAGGAACACTACAATTTAGTGCAACTGCCCGTCCTTTGTTAGATTCCGGTCGCAATGTAGACGCACCCAAAGCGTTTCGAGTTGTTTTGAGGCTTCAAAGTTCACGAACTTTGCTATTCTTAGAGGCGATAACTATCCATCGCTTGAAACCGCAATTATGTGTTCAAAACACATTTGTGACGCAACTTTTGTTGCCGTGGTAGTGATGCTGTCACACGTGATACTACCCCACCATAGTGTGTGACATGACCTTCCCTCCCTTTCCCTCTAAGACATTCACCAAATCGTTTGTACCAGTTCAACTCCTTATCAAATTTTGTCATCTAACTTAAACTCAAACCTCAACCAAAAACAAATCACGCAACTCGCTTGTCCACCAACTTGTTCAAATTACTCATTTCAACTCTTATGTTTCTTCATTTTGCATGATCATATAAATGTGAGTTTACAGTTGAATGAGAGCACGCGAATTAAATGACCAATATCAATTCTACCCACCTAGATCATCTTGTGTTGATGAACTGAATCTATTTGGAGAGCAGAATTCGGTTTGTGTTTTTATGAGTTACGTTTTGTTTGATATCTCCGACGATGAAATTAGGTGCTACAATGTGACAGAATATCATAGTGAAGTGATTTCGTCTGATACAAATTGACATCTTTGTAAAATACCGGACGGACCGTTTGCATTTCAGGCAACTACTTCTCACAGAAAATAGAAAGATACTATCAAAACTCGGACGATTATGTTTGGATCAAGAATCCCTCAGTTTGCCTCTGTATAACCGAAAATAACCACGAAAAAATGGATACCTGTATGTAGTGGTTGATGAATCTTATCGACTGTAAGCCCACCTCGCAGACGAGGCCAACAAGCAGTGGAACGATGTTGGCGACTGGTAGATTGGTTTGTTGTTAGTTATAGTCATGTTATTCAAGAAGATGGCCATTGTAATATTAGAAAACAATTTCGAACAAATGTGTCTGTTTAGACCACATAACGGTGTGTTGTTAGTGGGGACACATTTTCACGCTGGGTCAAAAGGTCGTTAGGGAAGGGAAGAGAAGGATGGAGTGGAGTGAGGCTGCGTCTCACGCGTGAAGTGAAACGGACCTACAAAGAAGTTCGATTATCGTTGCTCCTCATTATCCTGAACAGCCACAAAGACAGACTACCTACGCTGGCCACTGCTCTCTGGTCCTCTACTCTTTCTGGTGCGTTTGTAATGCAACGAACATCTGCGGCATGGCGAGGCAACTATCCCAACGGATGAAGGAGCACCGCTCATGGTGGTCAAGACCAGGAAGTACATGGGTCAAAGGCAGAGCAATTGATGGTCATTTAGTGGATACAAACGATCAAATTAGAACTGAATTCATGATCGGCGTGATCTATCGTGTGCCCCCTACCATCCCACTCTCCCGATCGCGAATGACCTTCCAACCCATCGTAAAAATGATTCCCCACTAACACAAAACTCTTATACGATCTGTATAGGCACAGTAATGAATCGTTCAAAAACAATTGTTCATCTTTGGACTTGTGCATGTGACGTGTGTGATGTATGTGTATATACGTATGTGATCCTTTAAATATCTCCTATATGTATCGCGCTCATCGGGTAAATCCTATTTCATTAGTTATGTTTGCAATGAACCATGTAAGTCGTACGACAAGGCAGCTATCTAAGCGCATCAAGGAACATGAACCCATTGGGCTTAGACGCGGAGCAATCGTAGTTATTTCCAGTTCCATTGTTGCACACTTGATCGAAACTGGACATAGGGTGTATACAAATTCGGCCCACAAACCGATCGCCTATCTAAGGGGACTTCTGTCAAAACCCAAGGAGGGAACAATG